TACCCTTTTGCACCTTCCTTGCACCGCCTCTGACTCCCTATCTCTCAGCACTACAAAGTAGGGGAGACCAGGGACAGTTGCAACACTTTTTGGGTTTTTCCCCAATAAGTAAAAAACAATTTACAATAGGATAGCCATTTTGCTATATTATACATTATCAATATGTCAGCTACTTAAACAATGTATTTAAGATGTTTTTATGAAATAAGTACAGGTTGGAAAATGTATTTTTTTTAAAAACTCAACTGTTACAACTGTCCTTGTGTACAGGGACAGTTGTAACACATGCCAGGCACGGTTGTAACATGTTAATAACGGTTACCTTTTTCACACTACATGACAACAAATAGGGAAAGCTGTCAAATTCTAAGGCACACGATTTGAATGGGGTTTCACACATCCTCCAACAAACAATGAACAATGAACAGGATAACAGATAACACACACAGCATCATCCTCTGTGAAGGATACATTATTATATTATTCCGTTTTTTTAATCTTTACAAAATGCAAGCTTTTTAAAGGGGACATTTGTCAATATGGAGAAAATATTGGAAATTAATTTCCAACATTTCCGTGAAATACATTAGCCTACTTGAGTAAATGTACTCAGTTACAATCCACCACTGCTCCCTGATTTGCTCAACATAACAGTCATCATTCATCATTAATCATCAACAATGTTCTCGCTAAAATAACTTCCATTGAAACAATACATTTACAAAAGGAAGTGTAACAGCAACAATTTTTGCTAATCAGTTAGTTGTTGAATTTATTTCTCAAGCAAAAATACAATTGATTTACTGGTGACAGGTTTTACATCTGAATATGTTTTACACACTTCTAACATATCATACATACACTAAAGGAATAATTAATTAAAGGAAAAAAAACGAATCTTATCCAAAAATACACACGTTTTGAGTTCAGACTGAGGGCATAGCAGCTTAAGGTAGAACTCTTGAAGGCAGCACTTAGCTCTAAATTCCAATTAAGCAGCATGTTGAAGCCATCAGGCATGTCCCAGCATGCACTCGCGGCAGAGTGGGGCCGCAGTGGGGCTGTCAGTGGACAGATCCGAGCACGTTAAAAAAAATCCATCTTCTGCCTTTATTCATAGAAACCCTGCTCTGACCTGACAGGGAGGCTATTTTAGGAACACACCTGTTACTAAATCCTGCAGCAATGAACACACATCCAGCAGGAAGAGCAACTGCATGTCCGTGTTTGATACAATAAGTCTGAGAAATGTCCACAATAAGCACAGCTGGGAGACTAACAAAGGCATCGCCTCCTGTTGGTGTTGTGGCATCTCCATCATCCACGCCCAGACTGTACTGTAAATCAGCGGAAGTGGCTGGCGTGGATTTCAAAATAAAATATTAACTTTGCATAAGGAGCATCACTGATGCTTAGATAGAAAACATATATTTACTTTTGCACCATAATAGCCTTATTATTTTTCTCCAGAAATGTTTTTAATTAGAATTTGACTTCTAAACAGGCCAGGCAAGCAAAGTAATTCCAAGCACATCAAAATTCAGTTTTAAACTATGTTTGGATTTGATAGATGGGGGAATTTGTATCTCTAAAGTAGGCTACTGCTTTAACATTATAGGGGCTTTCAGTGAATGATCTAGGTATCCTCTCGTCAAATTGTTTTCTTGCCTTTGTTTGAATTGGCATACTCCCAAATGAATCTGTGTTTAATCAGGTCGTTTTTTGAACATTGGCCCCAAAGCAACACATTTTGCACATAATTTTTTACAAGAGAAAATCACCAAAAATGTGCAAAAGTAATGTGTAGTCGAACCAGTAGTAGACAATTATTGTCAAGTGATTGTCAAGTTAATTTGGTAGCAATAAACTGTTAACCCTGGCTGTTTTTAACCTAAAAACTAAATGAGGCGTAATAACCTATGGTAATAACCCACGTGTTAAACAACTAAGACTTATCTATAGCTAATGTTAACTTGCTAGCTTGGGATGCAACTTAAGAAGTCTTCAAGAGTATAATATTTTATGGTGTCAATATAATAATTGTATAGTAATACATTATAATTCATATCATCATATTAATATTATAATGTGTTATTATTAAGTTACGTATCCTTTTACTTTTTAGGAAAGCCGAATGAAGTTGTATTTATAGATTGTTAACATTAGCAATGGGCACTCATAAACAAACTGGTATATAATATACAATAAAGACAAAATATCAAAATATGAAATAAAAACAAGATATATACAGTAAAAGACGAATGAAATGTGTTGTTCATGCCAGAGGCCGGTTGGCCAAGTTTGTAACAAATTGCGAGTTTTATTTTGAAAGCTGCAACAGGAAGTGCACAATAAGTAATCAGGCTAACTTGACACCTGTGTCTCAGAGGCACCGCTGTTCCGGATTGACTGGTTCCCCGATCAACTGGTTGACAGATGTGGAGGCGTGGCCTCGACTGAAATACACATTTCGATCGCTTCTTCTGTCGTTTACATACATCTTTTGGTATATTTGGCTGGATAGGAACACTTTGATGCACATTCAGTACCAGTGTGTGAGGTTGTGCTTACGATGGCAATATCCGGACGCGAACAGCGAGGACTACAAAAAGAAAAACGAGTTGATCGGGGATGTCTGTTCAAAAACATTGCGAGCTCCAATAAATCATTTAAAATCAGCTATTGTTGCCAGACTTATTTCTGAATATCGTTCTTAATGTGATACAAGTCCATCTGAGACCCTGTGTACACCTTCAGACAGCCTCCAAGTGAAGCACATGTTCTTTACTCACCTTGGTGTAGAAACAGCCCTTTATATCCGTTAGCATAGCTAGCTAACCAGATGCTAACAACATTCCACGTTACCACTCGCGCACTCACAAAATTTGCTCGAGTGCCACACAGAGCCGAGCTTGAATGAAACACAGAGACCCATGTACTTGTACTGTACTGTATATCATATATTTTCGATGGCTTTACTGTATAATCAGTACAACAGATGAACAGATCGCCACTGGGCTTTCATCTAAACACACAGCCACGTAATGATAACAAAAAAAAGGTCGGGGGTCATTGGTCAAGCAACACACCAATCAGAGAGCAGCAGTGAGCACACCTCAGGCTGTGTTTTATATTTGTATTCTTTATTTCTGATGTATTTCACACAAAAAACCTTTAGTAGAAACGTTTTCACTTATAAGATTAAAAAAAGAAAAAAACGGCAAAGTGGCAAGTCTTGCCAACCCTGCGTTGGGGGGGCACAGTGACTCATTTGGGGGGGCATGGCCGCGATTGGCTCTCGGCAAACAATATAGGAATCCTCTATTCAAACCACATAATATTCAGTGTCCATCGACATGAAAATAACAAAAAAGTTCATGCTGGACTCAAACCCGAGTTCCAACAGCAAAAGTCCACTCCAGCCCTGGGCGTTATGAGTGCGCCACGGATCAACACGACGTATCGAACCACCACACTATAATATTTTTAGATTAACCTTAACACACTTATATGTAAAACTAACACTTATCACAACATAATGTGGGCTCGCAGGCTGATAAACTAGGATATCTGATCTCGGTGGGTCTTAATGAGGCTTGATACAGACCTCAGTCAGTAGGCTATACTATATTATAATATGTATATTATATGGCTTAAAGTGTACATTCGCTCACATTATAAATGATGGTCGGGTTGCATTTTTCTGTAACTTTTTAACAAGGTTAATCTAAAATATTATAGTGTGGTGGTTCGATACGTCGTGTTGATCTGTGGCGCACTCATGACGCGCAGGGCTGGAGTGACTTTTGCTGTTGGGACTCGGGTTTGAGTCCAGCATGAACTTTTTTGTTATTTTCATGTCGATGGACACTGAATATTATGTGGTTTGAATAGAGGATTCCTAATATTGTTTGCCGAGACCAACATTAATGACCCATCAGCATTTTAAAGTATAATATCCCTGCACATGCAGCAATGACATTTCTGCTGCTATCTTTGCAAAACGAGTTAACAGTCACATTTGATCTGGATGAGTGCTGCAGAATACTGTTTTTATAAGGGATGTAGATGTGTGTGTCTTTCATATTAAACATGATCGCTGGTAGATAGCCACAGAAGTCGTAACACAGTTTCATCTGGGTGGATCCCATTTTCCCATGGGCGAATCACAGTTTACCTGAGAGGAACAGTTTAACACAGCTGAAGACTTCTCCACGCTGCTTTCAAACTCTGAGTAAACAACGTACGCTTCACTGGGAGGCTGTCTGAAGGTGTACACATGTCTCAGATGGACTTGGTATCACATTAGGAACGATATTCAGTGATAAATCGGGCAACAATAGCTGGTTTTAAGGATTTATTCGAGCGGATCACAACTTAACACAGCTGAAGACTTCTCCACGCTGCTTTCAAACTGTGAGTAAAGAACATGTGCTTCACTTGGAGGCTGTCTGAAGGTGTACACATGTCTCAGATGGACTTGGTATCACATTAGGAACGATATTCAGTGATAAATCGGGCAACAATAGCTGGTTTTAAGGATTTATTCGAGCGGATCACAACTTAACACAGCTGAAGACTTCTCCACGCTGCTTTCAAGCTGTGAGTAAAGAACATGTGCTTCACTTGGAGGCTGTCTGAAGGTGTACACAGGTCTCAGATGGACTTGGTATCACATTAAGAACGATATTCAGAAATAAGTCTAGCAACAATAGCTGGTTTAATTGATTTATTGGAGCTCGCAATGTTTTGAACAGACATCCCCGATCAACTCGTTTTTCTTTTTGTAGTCCTCGCTGTTCGCGTTCGGATATTGCCATCGTAAGCACAACCTCACACACTGGTACTGAATGTGCATCAAAGTGTTCCTATCCAGCCAAATATACCAAAAGATGTATGTAAACGACAGAAGAAGCGATCGAAATGTGTATTTCAGTCGAGGCCACGCCTCCACATCTGTCAACCAGTTGATCGGGGAACCAGTCAATCCGGAACACCGGCCAGTGCGGTAGGTTCAGGGCAGAGAGGTGGAGAGTACAGCGGGACCAGAGAGCTTCTTGTGGAGGCGTACAGGGTTTCACCTCCCGCCGGGTGTCAGCTGGAGCTTCAGACCGGACAGGAGCCTCTGCTCGGAACGAGAAGGAGTTTTCTTTCTTTTGTAAACCAGGGTTACTCTTTACTTTTCACTTCGCGTTTGCTTTGGAGCTTGCGGTTCTCCCCGCTGCGCTTGTTACCCTGAGGTTACACACGGGAGCCGTGCACGAGAGGAGATTACGGAGCCGTGCTTGTGAATGGACTGAGGTTAAAAAGGCACCGGGGATAAGTGCATGTCAAACCTGCTCTGCGGCATCAATAACACCTATTTCACCGTGCAGCATGCAGCGAGAGGAGTCCTTTCAGATGCTTTCCCTCTCCAGACAGTGAGGGAATAAGGCTCGGAGAGGAGGAGGCATTTAGGATATATATGGGAGATTTGTTGGATTTCACCCCGTCGTTGTAAACTTGTGTCCGGGATGGGGAAGGAGCAGGAACTGCTGGAAGCCGCCCGGACCGGTAATGTCGCCGTGGTGGAGAAATTATTGAGTGGGAAGAGGGGGATTCTGGGGTCAGGCTCAGGCTCCATCCCTCTGCCCAACCTATTGAGGTAAGAAGCCGCTCTCATCTCCTTCTCATGACCGCTAAAGTGTTCAGGGAGCCCTGGGGTGCTGCAGGGGATTCCTGGGGGGTTCCCATGCTGCAAAATTAGGCATTAGCTTCATCATGGGTCAATGCATTTTAAATGAGCCTATCACTCATCCTCCCAGCTGCAGTATGGAGTGTACAATATACATTCAGTACAGTTTGTTCCATATTGGAACCCTAGATGTGGTGTTTAAGAGCTTTGTGGAACATGCTGCAGTAGGAAAAAAAGGAAATTAAGTCTGGTGATGCAAAGTCAAGAGAGTTGTGTGAGGCAAAGTGCACTTTAAGGCCCTTAGAATTGCTGCAGGCTAAATACACTTACTGTATCTGTGACAGAATGCATGACAGGTCTCAGGGTGCTGGTGTTGGTCTGCTTGTTGTGGGAGTCACTACCGGCTGAGCACAAAAGGAACAGACAGTACCTTCAGCCTCCTGAATCCGGCAGCTGTCAAAATGTGGATTTGTTGAACAGGACAAAAGCTTGGATGATGTTGCACTTGTAACCGCTGTAGAATGTCTTCATGCATTCTGTGGACCTTTTATATGCAAGGCTTTCTAACAGCAACCATAACCTTCCTCTTTTTGTATTTATCGGCACTGTCATGGTGGTAAAGGTCTTTTTTTTATAATAGCATTAGTAAATTGACACATTTCCTTGGTGTTTGTAAAACACTGTCTGTTCAAATGATGCTCAGAAGGCCTGGCATGCAGGGTGTGTAAGTAAGTTAGCTGCAAACAGCTCTTGCTTCTTTGTGCAAGAACAATAGACCAACATGGATTTCCCCAAAAGGTGATTTGTGGATTAAGAGCAGGGATGTGAGGAGAGTGAGGGAATGTTTGTTTGTAACAGGTGGCAACATGTTAGTTCACTTAGATTTCCCTCTATCACCTTGAACCCCTGACCCCTTGCTATGAAAATACCAAGTGAATGTTCCCAGTATTATTTTTAGTATCTTGTGATGTGACTGCCTGGTGCTGTTCACTATTCAAAATAAACATTAAGAATCTTCCCAGGAATATTTCCTTTTCTTTACCCAACCCACAAAGGCTTGGATCTGGCCGCGAGAACAACTGCTGAGGTTATTATTGTCCCCCCCGCCCCTGCAGCCTCTCCCTGTCTCTGCTGAGGCCCAGGCTGAACCAGGTGATTAGGAGATCAAAGGCGGGGGTGTCTGGGTGGAGCATCGCCTCGGGCCCCTGGGTAGAGCGTCTCATAACCGGGTGGAGGTCGCATGCCGCCATGGAGGATGCCAGCCGCTCTTTCTCTAAGCTAAGGGGTCATAAGCTGTGGTCTGGGGACTCCTGCGGGGCCCTTATGCACAAGAACTGTATTAGTTTAAAAATAAAGACACAATGTGAACCTCTGCCAAGGATATGTTTTTGGTTCATTTGTCAGCAGGGTTATGAGAACGACTAGCATGATTTTCATAACACTTGGTGAAAGTGTTAGGCATGGGTTAAGGAAGAACCCATCTCTGAGTGGAAAAGGCAGAAACACACATTCTTCTCCATTTAAGAAAACAGCCTTGGCTGCATCTGCACTCTGTGAAGTCTGTGTTGTTTAAACATTACTTGTATAAATCAAAGTCAGCTCAGTATGCAGGGACAGTGTTCTGCAAAGTTACAGCAAATCCAGAGCCAGACAAAAGTGCAGCAGCAGAGACAAATGACTGGAGAGCAGCTGATGATTCCTGCAGCTTCTGTTATCAAAGTATGGAGATGCAGCACCGCCTGCTGCAACAAGTGGTCAGGAGCATGTGGTTGATCGTCTCTGTGGGTCCCCAACCGCTCATGGAGAACGGCGGTTTACACTGTTTACTCTCGCATAGTTGTGTCCGTGTGGTTCTCTTCTTCTTTTCTGCACGCCAATTCCTCTCTGAGATAATAATTGCCACGGTGAAAAGGAATGATTGTAGCCAGTTGCACGCTGATGGCGTTTTTTGTACTATTACTAACTACTATTTTATGAAGGGGAAGTAGGCTTGCCATGTGAAAGCTGGCTCCCAAACCCATACTACATTTGTGAGTGAAATATCCCAGAGTACAGGATGTTTTGCCAACACATTATGCACAGACATTCATGTTTCCTCTTCATGAATTGTAATAACTTTGGTGATTCCCTGACTTTCACTGAACTGCCAACACAGCAAAACACACTCAAAACTTGATAAGAGTCTTCCACTGATAAATAGATGATGGTTGTTTGTCCTTCACGCCATGAATATTTGTTGCTAAAAGGGATTAAACACAAATATACGCTTTTATATTTGTTACTGTATCTGGTCTCCCACATCCCAACACTGTAAACATTGTCGCATTTTGTTTGCCTTGCATATTAGGATTTCATTGAATTTATTGAAGGACAGAGATTATTTACCGAACACTGAATTCATTTAAAGCTCTTTGAGGAGATTAAAGAATGACACAACCAAAATGCAGCTTTTAGTTCCAATACTGGAGTTTAACTTTAGAGCACAAAACAGACTCTGGAGGTCAGAGAGTTGCATTATGGGTAGCAATACCTCAGCAGGTTTGGCGTTGTGTTTTTGGCAGTGAGTTATGTCTTCTGTGTTACACACTTGGCTTTCATTGGGTCAAGAAGACACTGTAGAATAAGTGGGTGGGCCACACACACACACACACACACACACACACACACACACACACACACACACACACACACACACACACACCTGTTTGTGTGTGTCAGTGAGTGTCCAGTTGTGTGACGCCCCTGCTGATGGAGGGTCTTTTTGTTCTTTTGGAGATGAGTGAGTCAACAGAGAGGTCAAAGCGGAGGAGTGTGTGCAGGCTAATGTTATGGGAATGATCTCCGGGAATCAATGCATAGTTTCCCATCTTAAGGCCTCTGAGCCATTCGTAGCATTCCTAAGTCATGAGGTTTGCCTTTTCCCTGAAAAGTTGGACTAAACCACCAACTGGGACATGAACATGAACACACACACATACTACTACACACACACTCGCATAAGTACAGGGTGTAGAGAAGAGGATCCTCCGGCGGTGCAGTCCTGTGGTGTGGTGCACGCTACAGAATCAATACTGCATGATCTCATTGTGTTGAATGGGTCAGTCTCTGTGGATGACATGCACTAAACATGGTGACCGTGTGTTAGCAGGACTCTGTGCTTTGTCATTAGTACACACACTCTGCTCTGAGTGGGATGTATTCTACGGCTAACAAAAGGGAGAGTCTCCTTCCTAGTGTTTATATTCCAACAATCGTTCTCTGAGAAGAACTAGAGATTAATCTATAAGCAAACAAACTCTAACACATGTTAATTAGTGACATTTCATTGTGAAAAAGAGTAGAGAAAAAGTCTGCAAAATAGAATACAAATGTGTACATTTTCCCAACAGCTACTGGTATGTAATTATCTTCAATAACACCTGATGAGATTACAATTTATATTTGCAATTGCAACAGTAACTCTGGTACTCCATGGAGTTTCTGAGCTGTTTTTATTTGTGTTCTGTACATTTGCCAGAGATGCACGGATTCCTATTATTTATTTTTTTAAATAAGAGAAGATATTTCAGTTATTTTTCAAGTTTCATACTTAATTATGTTCATGGGATTTGTAGTATAGTTCATGTTGCATGCTAGCAGTTTTGGAGAGTTACAAGCTGCTCATACAAACCAATATTAACAGTGAGGATGAATGTATGATGACAGCATGTGTATTGTCTATCAGAGGAGATGAGGTTAGGTGTGTGTGCTGAGCATGACACACCCTGACTGTGATGGAGGGATTGAAAGCTGATACACTAAGAGAGGGTGACTCATTGTTGAAGCAGATGGAGGCGGATCACTGCTCACTTTCACACTCGCCAAATAATGTTCAGGGGAAAGCATCATGTTTGTGTGTGTGTGGGGGGGGTCTTTACCTCCCTCCTCCTTCACAAACTAACAACCTTTAAGTGGAGTACTGTAACTCCCAGAGGAGACACACACACTTCTGTTTTAATTGGCATCCTCACAGGTGGTCTCCCCGACATTATTCCTTGATGTGTTCCCCTGCTCGTGTTGGAGTCTATCTTTGAGCTGCGTGCGTGTGTGTCTAGAGGAGGGACTACAAAAAGAACAAACAGCAAAAAAGTGTGTGTGTGTGTTAGTTTGGAGAGCAGTCAGGGTGAGAGCTGAGGGGGAATCACTGAGCTACATGTGGTGCAGGACACCTACTGTGGGTCAAAGGTTAAGTGTGGAGAATGCACATATTAGGGATGGATTAGGAGGCGTACACACACAACCCAAGAGCATCTGTGTGTCACAAATTATAATACATATTGGATTCAGTTTGATGGATTGTGCCTTTTTCAAATGTGACACTTTAGGTCTAAGTCTCATTAGGGGTGCATCAAATGGATATAGGTATATTTTGATATAGAACTCAAACCATTTTTTTTTCGAGTATGGATTAGTCATTGGACAGAAGATTTATTAGCAATTGTCGCTTGTCAAGGCACATATGCCAAAAAACGATCTTGTTCTAGTCACTGAAAAGATGGCTTCTAGTTGTCACGTATGATAAACCATCTTTTATTTTCACCTGAACACTTGCATTCTCTTCTCTGAAAACACGAAAGCCAAACCACTGCTTTTATAGATGGACTTGTATGTGCAGCAGGAGTCATTCAGTACATATTTTTGCTTAACTTTGGGTTCAGCAGTGGCGTCGGTGCATTGAGTTTGTCTGGAGCCATATTGTGATTGAGAGGGGAGGAAGGTGTGAAAGTGTGTGTGTGTGTGTGTGTGTGTGTGATCAGACTCCGAGGCTTCTTACATCTCCATTAGGGTCCGGGCCAAACTCTGCTGCAGCATCCTGCCAAGAAACTAAGACCTCTGTACTCGCCAAGACACACACGGTCTCTCTCTCTCTCTCTCTCTCTATCTCTCTATCTCTCTATCTCTCTCTCTCTCTCTCTCTCTCTCTCTCTCTC